CACTGATCACAGTGGCTCCTTAAACCCCTTAGAAGCTCTCCATGAGTAAATGCTAAATGTAATGTCAAAGAGGCAGCGGAGGGATCATGCTCACCAAGAGCTTCCTTGGAGCTGCAGGGACGTGCTGTGTAGGGTGAGATGGGGGGACAGGCGCCTGCTCCTTTGGGTCATTTGTTCCTGTTGCACTCAAGAAGCCGCTGAGGTGCAAGGGGATGCAATGAAACCAAAAGCCAGAGGGAAAACACCCTGGCAAGAAACAGCACCCAGAGGTTAAAGCAGGACAACGAGGGGGTTTCCAGCCGTCCAGGAGAGGTGCTAACTGAAAACAAGGTGGTGGATGGATGCAGGCATGAGCTGGTGAGTCAGGAGAGATGGGGCCACACGTTTCCTCCTGCCCTTTGAGCAGATGGCTACGTGCAGACATCTGTTTACATCAGTGAGCAGACACCTGTTTACATCAGTGAGCAGACACCTATTTACATCAGTGAGCAGACACCTACACCAGTGAGCAGGTACCTATGTCAGTGAGCAGGCACCTACAACTGCAAGCAGACACCTACACCAGTGAGGAGACACCTGGATCAGTGAGCAGACACCTACACCTGCGAGCAGACACCTACCTACACGAGTGAGCAGGCACCCACAACTGCAAGCAGGCACCTACAACTTCAAGCACGCACATAAAACTGCGAGCAGGCACCTACACCAGTGAGCAGGCACCTACACCAGTGAGCAGGCACCTACACCTGCAAGCATGCACATAAAACTGCGAGCAGGCACCTACACCAGTGAGCAGGCACCTACACCAGTGAGCAGGCACCTACACCAGTGAGCAGGCACCTACAACTGCAAGCATGCACATAAAACTGCGAGCAGGCACCTACACCAGTGAGCAGGCACCTACACCTGCAAGCAGGCACATACAACTGCGAGCAAGCACCTACACCAGTGAGCAGGCACCTACACCTGCAAGCAGGCACATACAACTGCGAGCAAGCACCTACACCAGTGAGCAGACACCTACACCAGTGAGCAGGCACCTGCATCAGTGAGCAGGCACCTACACCAGTGAGCAGGCACCTACACCACTGAGCAGGCACCTACACCAGTGAGCAGGCACCTACACCACTGAGCAGGCACCTACACCTGCAAGCAGATACCTGCATCAGTGAGCAGGCACCTGCACCAGTGAGCAGGCACCTACACCAGTGAGCAGACACCTACACCAGTGAGCAGGCACCTACACCTGCAAGCAGACACCTGCATCAGTGAGCAGGCACCTACACCAATGAGCAGGCACCTACACCAGTGAGCAGACACCTACACCTGCAAGCAGATACCTGCATCAGTGAGCAGGCACCTACACCAATGAGCAGACACCTACACCAGTGAGCAGGCACCTACAACTGCAAGCAGACACCTGCACCAGTGAGCAGGCACCTACACCTGCAAGCAGACACCTGCATCAGTGAGCAGGCACCTACACCAATGAGCAGGCACCTACACCAGTGAGCAGACACCTACACCAGTGAGCAGGCACCTACACCAGTGAGCAGGCACCTACAACTGCAAGCAGACACCTGCATCAGTGAGCAGGCACCCATCACTGGGACAACCCCAATAGGAACCTGAAGTAGGCAAGACCTCCCCCCAAGCATCTCCTAACCCCTACCTCCCCTCGCTTCTCTGCATCATCAGTGCCCATAACCCCCTCCCAATGCCTTTGATGGGAAGCTCTGGATGAGAAGTTTCCCATGCTGCCAGGAAAGTACATGGAGGAGCGATGGCGGATACAACCAGCAAGCACTGCAGCACTGCCGGCAAGCCAGAAAGCATCCCAAAGGGGCAAAACTCTCCTTTTTAATACCAAAAAGCTGAAGAAAGGCAAAGCTCTGCCTTAGCTGTAATCACTGTGTAAAAGCAGATAGCTTCCCATCAGAGGGTGCTACAGTCTGACTACCTGAAGTTGTGGTATCAGGAAGGGCTTGATAGAGAAGGGGGATAGTAGCGTGTGGATGTGGTGCTGTCCTGCCCTTTCCCTTCGCACTCATGTGCAAAAGGCACCTTTGCTCCTCTGCCAACCAGAGCCTCCTTGATCTCGGCAAGCAGAGACAAGACCAGAAGCTGTCCTAAGTTCTGTTAACAGAAAGCAAAGAGGCCTAATAAAGAGTAGTATTGTTGAGAGTGACAGGGGGTTGGAACTGGATAAGGTCCTTTCCAACCCAAACAGTTCCATGAGTCTGTGACTCTATGATAATACATTCATAGTGCCAGGCTCTTTCCAGCTGGGAAGCACGTTGCACCATCGGTCATGCCCTTGCCAGCTTGCTACTGGGAACCCATCGCTCCCAGCATCACACATTCAATCTCTCCTCACTGGCTTTCAGCCTTATCTCCAGCTCCTTCCCAGCCAGCAACAGCCCCAGGACCTCATTTGTCCTTCAGCAAATGACAGATATCCCGCTCTCTGGCACTATCCTGCTGCTTATCACCTGCTGCCCTGTGTCAGCACAGGAATTAAAGCACATTATCCAGACAGGGTGAAGGGCATTTTAGGTGCGAGCTCCCAACACGTCCTGCCAGCAGAGCTGCAGCCAGGGATGGGGCTTTGCCAGGGTAACAGCATCACTGGGGGATCAGCGCTCCTGGATGATGCAGCGATGCTGTAAGATATTAATTCCTGCCCTAAGCTCATTCCTTATATCTGTCCTTGACTATCACTGCTAGAAACACCTTCCCTTAGCATCTGAAACTGCCAAATGCCTTGTGGTTGGCTGTACCGAAACTGTTGTATAGACACAAAGTGCAGATCCTGGGGCAATGCCACTGGTGACGATGCCCCAGGAGAAAGGAGGCAGAACAGAGCCAAATAATGAGGATTTAGCACAGACTTGTCACAGAGAGCCAGGAAAGTGATGCCAAAGCTGCAAGGGGTGAGGAACTGACAGAGCTAGTGGTGGGGTTTGCATTTTACTCCATGGGATAGTCCAGCCCCTCCTCTGTGCAACCTGGATCTGGGGGGCAGTGAGTGAGCCCTGGGGTGAGATGCTGTTCCCAAAAGGCTCCCAAAGGAAAGGAATGGGGTGCCCAGAGAAGCTGTGGCTGCCCCATCCCTGGCAGTGTTCAAGGCCAGGTTGGACACAGGGGCTTGGAGCAAGCTGCTCTAGTGGAAGGTGTCCCTGCCCGTGGCAGGGGTTGGAGCTGGAGGAGCTTTAAGGTCCCTTCCAACCCAAACCAGTCTGGGATTCTATGACAAAACCCATTCACTTTGGCCTCTCCCCCTCTCCCCAAGGCAGAGCTGCAAGTGGATGCAAGGAGCAGCTGGCAGCTCCTCTGGCATTTCAAGGTTGACCTCTAGAGGAAGTTTGTAGATGAGCCATGTCTGCAAGCATGGCAAAAGGGCTGCAGTACAGAACTGCCCATATCAAGGTATCCAGTGGTGACAGCAAGGTGCCCAACAAATGCATTCTCCCCATTCACGTGTGCTGGGCAGGACAGCATGGAAATACATCGAAATACAGCATAGAAATACATCCTCATTACTGCAAACCCATCGTGTGTCCCCAAGTGCTGGAGACCCTCCTGTCATTTCTACCACCAGCTCCCTGCTGAGGCTGCAACAGAGCCACGTGAGCTCTTCTCCAGCATAAAGCTCCCCATGCTCACCTCCAAGGGCTCAGTGCCTTTAAATCCTGACACACTGCTTTCTTCCCCCATCCTCAGCATCTCTCCTGCTCTGTACGAACCCATCTGCCACCTGAACTTAAACCAAGACCTGAAGCGTGTTGCACTGTCACGATGTGAGGGTGTGAACACATCGCGCTTCATTGAGCCTTAACAGCCCACGTAAACCTCATGTGAGCATCACCGTGGGCAAATCCCCACACACCCAGGGCATCCTTCCCAGAGCAGGGTGAGGTGAGGACCAAACCCAGCCCTCCCTCCCTCCCCACTTCTCGTTCCCTTCCTGCTGCCCTTCCATGCCATGCAGCCTCGGTGGGCAACATCCCTGCAGTGGTACCCTCTGCCCCAGTGCAGACACTGATGCACTTCTGCAAAGCATCTGGGTTTGATGCTGAGCAGCGTCTTCGCCCTGTGTCCTTGCACATCCCTGCTTAACCCTGCTTCCCTGGCTTTTGTGTCTCGTGGGAAAGACTTTTCCCCTCTGTTTCTCCTCCCAGTATTGCTGCTAGGAGAAGGGGCTGTCATGAGCTGTTTGCCACCATGCCTGCACTGTGATACCCCTCTGGGATAAGGAGGAGGTGACGTTAAGGGCCTCTGCTTCACAGCAGTCTGGAGAGGATGGAAAACTCATCCATGCCCACTGCAGGGCAGTACAGAAGGAGCATCAGGGGTTTAGGTCGCATAGCTGGGTCCTTCCTGCCCCATGCTGCCAAGCCAAGGGATGGCAAAGGGGAATTGCTGCCAGCTGATGGGATGGAGTTTGGGGCGAAAGAAATGGTTTGTGGTGCAGATCTGAGAGCCCCATGATGTGAAAGAGAGTTGGCCAGGTGAGATACCCTTCTCGAAACCCATTTACCTCCCTGGCCTCTCCCCCCAGGCTCCCAACAGCAGCTCGTCCAGCTGAGCATCCCCCAAAGACCACCACGAACACCTGCAGGTTGCCAGTTCTCACCCTGCATGGCCAAAATAACCCCCAGCAGCATCCCCCTGCTTGGGAACATCATTGCTTCTCAGCACTAGCATCACTCAGAGCAGCTTATACCCTGCAGCAAGGAGATGAAAACACTACAACCAAGGAAAGGCAGAGGGGAAACCACTGCCCTTTACAGGCTGCATTTCTACCCCATCCCCACTAGCATCACAGGGTGTCCCACATCCTCTTCCGAAAGCCAATGCTGCAGCAAAGCACCCGGTGCTCCCATCTCCCACCAAGGAGACACCACACAGATCCCAACCCCAGAGCCCTGGACCCCAGATCCCCCCTCCAAGTTCAGCAGAGCCCTCTGTGACGCTGAGCACCCCGATCTTCTTCTTACCTTTGCGGAACGGCATGGGGCAGTGGGATGCAGGCTTCCGTGGCGGCGATGACTTGCGCTTCTCTATAGATCTGTTTCTTCTTGATTTCTATCTTCTTTCTTCCTTCTTTTAGGAGGAAACGGACATATTTGGGCAAAGCCCGGCAGAAACCAGCGTCATTGGGAGGCAGGCACTGCAGAGAGGAGGAAGTGTGCTTGCTGGTTCGGAGCTTTTAACCCCTTGCTTCCCGGAGGCAGCGGGGCTGGGAGAGGGGCGATAGGGACGGCATAAGGAGCTGATGCTGTTAGGACGAGGTGGAAGGCACTGAGAAGTGGTGTTTGGGTTTGTCTGTGGTGGTGTTTTTTATCTTTCTTGGTAGGACCAAGAGAGAACTGAATGTAATGGATGTGTGTGGGATAATGGGGTTTTGGCCTCCCACATCCCCTCTGCCAGTCTTCTGAGCTCAGCAGAGCACCGATCCTGTCTTCTCTATGGTAGTACTGGGCCAAGCTGGGAAAACTCAACTGCTTCTAATAGGAAGGCAGAAACTCAGAGCCTCAAGCTTAGTATCTCCTGTCTGCCCCTGCACGGGCTGGAGCATCCAAGGTAAAAGCAATTGGATGCAGCAATAGGACGTGGAGCTGTTGGAGCGAGTGCAGAGGAGGCCACGGAGATGCTGCAAGGGCTGGAGCAGCTCTTCTCTGGAGCCAGGCTGAGAGAGCTGGGCTGGGGCAGCCTGGAGAAGAGAAGGCTCCTGAAGGGGAGACCTGAGAGCAGCTCCAGTGCCTAAAGGGGCTGCAGGAAAGCTGGAGAGGGGCTTTGGACAAGGGCCTGTAGGGACAGGCCAAGGGGAATGGCTTTAACCTGCCCGAGGGGAGACTGAGATGAGCTCTTAGGCAGAAGCTCTTCCCTGTGAGGGTGCTGAGGCGCTGGCACAGGGTGCCCAGAGAAGCTGTGGCTGCCCCATCCCTGGCAGTGTTCAAGGCCAGGCTGGACACAGGGGCTTGGAGCAAGCTGCTCTAGTGGAAGGTGTCCCTGCCCATGGCAGGGGTTGGAGCTGGAGGAGCTTTAAGGTCCCTTCCAGCCCAGAGCAGTCTGGGATTCCAAGACTCTATGAATTGGAGGTTCAGATCCTGCTGTGCTAGCCCCCATGCTGAGGATGTGCAAACCCAGCTTCTGCGATTACATCAGGACTGAGAGCTGAGATAAGCTGTGAGCTGAGCCTAGGTATTTGGAACAGAGTCAGGTCTGTGTGTCCTGATCTCTACTATCCAACCTGCAGCTCAGGGTGCAGCAGGATGTGAAGGTGGAGCATTATCACCTGAGAAAGTGGCTTATTTTCACTGTGGTTCCTTTGCCCTCCCTGGATGTAGAAAAAGGCATTGGCTTGGAGCTAGCTCAAGAGAAACTCCAGCTACGCAGGTCTGGACCCCATCTAGGTGGTTAACAGCCACACCATGAGCTCTCTGCTGTGTCTTTGCTCCCTGCAGGTTTCTCCTGCCAAGACCTTCCTCAAAGCATCCCTGTGTCAGTGGCCATGGTGGTTTAAAACCTCCCTGCCCAGCTAGTGCAGGCTCCAGCCCCATTGACCTTAGTGGTGCTCAAGGTGAGCACTCTCCATTTGCTCCAGTGGACAGATTTGACTCCATCTCCCCTTGGAGAAGCCTGTTTGAGCCAGTGGGTTGAGAGCACTCCGAAAATACCCCTCAGGCTCTGTTAGGAGAGCTGGAACTCCAGCAGGGACATCAATGTCTTACATGGCATTGGTGCCTTTCCCCTGCTCTGGGACTGATCGCTGCAGCATCCTCCCACGCTGCTGCATCCTCAGCACCATGAGGGACAAAAGCACACCAGACCTGGTGGCATGGGCTGCTGGGCTTCCTTCCAGCCACTGCAACCAGTTAGAGCTGCTGGTTCTTCCCTGTCCCTGGAGAACATGGCAGCACAGGCTGCAGGTGGGACTCTGCCCAGGCACATTGAACAGGAACCATTTTCTTGGCGAAAAATCATGCAGAAGTGGAATTTTGCAGGATATTTGAATCCTGATTGGTTTGTATTGACCTTTCCCAGCTGTGTCTTGTAGGAAGCTGTCTCTAAAACAAAAGCATGATAATAATACTTTCGGCAAATCATATTTTAGAGGAGTTGTTCAGTTACAACTGACCCAGCAAAAAGTCCTTTTACCTTTCCCCCAGGTTTAAAACCCCTATTTTATGGCTGAGATGCTGTAACTGCAGCCCTTGGCCTCATCCTTAACCCCATAAAACCCCTCGTTGGCCAGGATAAAGATGGAGATTTAACTTGCCTGGCACCCCATCTATAGGTGTGCACAACCAGGCTTTGTATCAAGGGGTGCAGGAGAGACCTACATGGCTCAGCACTTCTGCATGTACCTAAGGGAAGCAGAGACATCTCTGTCTACACAGAGAGGAATGGATTTTTGTGTCAGTGATTGCCCAGCCAGGAAATCAGTATTGAGCTGACCTCCCTTTCCAGTTAGTGGTGCAATGATGGGTGGGAGCAGGCTGCGAGACAAGGATGCTTTGCTTGGGCTGGAGCCACTCAGTGCTTTCAGCCTGAGCATCACTCACGGGATCTCCTTCGCTACGGGCAAATCATAACGCAAACAGCTCATTTCAAATATTGATAACCTTCTGAATGGCTTATGTGTCCCAAGAAGGACGCGGGTGCTGGTAACTGCTCGTGCTGGGATGTCGTGGGACATGCTCACACCATCGAGCCGGCTTGCATAATCCTATCTTGTCCTTTATAAGGTGTGTGAGTGCTCGGGCAGGCTCTGAGCCTCACCCCCTCGGTCACACGTTGCAGGGAGGTGCTGCTCCCCCTGCCAGCATCATGCCCTTATCCCACTGCTCAGCTCTCGCTGAGATGATGCATTTACACCTAAGCAGTCCCTCAAGGCTGCACCTCGGTGACCATCAGTGAGTTGTATATAGCCCTGAGGCTGCTGTTTTCAGCTCAAGGCCTTTGCTGTCTCTCCCACGGCCCCAGACACCCGGTACCCAGCTCCACATCTTGATCACCAGCTTGATGCTTCAGCCCTGCAAATGTAGAAGGGAAAGTTGGTTTGGGGCCTCTTGTTTGCAATGGCAATGCTGTTTCTGCTGGGAGAGCAGGCAGCACAACCAGGTCATCAGGGTTTAAGATGCAGCAAGGACTGGGAATGATAAGCTTTTGGAAGCTATAACCAACCTCCATATACCCTACAGCCTGACCTAGACAGATTACTTTTCACTAACCTCTGGTATTAGAGCTGGCGTCTTCATATCACAGAGATTAAGTGCTCCATAAAGGTGTCAAGACAAAATTGGATTAGAGAGATGGAGGTTAAAGACTTAGGAAGAGGTGCTCTTGGTCTCTTGCAGAGCTCTGGACCCTGCTCTCCTGTTTTGAATAGTTATCAGGGTTTTGGAGAGAAGGAAGGAATGGGACAGCATTCCCTGGGAATGACCTGCATGCAGGGAATACTGCAGCAGCACCATCCACTGTCATGTACCTCAGTGGCTTTCCTACAGCAGGCTTCTAACTGTGGTGTTGCTCTTCCCATGCAAAAAACTCAGTCTTCCCTCTCCATTGATTTCCATCCTTGAGCTTTTGAACACATCCATTTGGCACTGAAGAGAAAGCATCACATCTGGAGAAACATCTCCATCTTTGCGATGCATCCAAAGTGACAATCAATCAGTGCTCTTTCACACAGCCAAATCCTTGCCATGTAGTTAATCCCTTTTCTTTTAAATCAGAAAAAAAAACCAACAATGTATGTATTGATTTTGTTATGCCATAAATTCATTTTTAGGGTGTCGCTCCTCTGGATGTGCTTGAAGTGGGAAGATGCTTAAAAACTGCTTTGGAAAAATCCCCACATTCTTCCTACAGGAGGAATAAGAATCAGGAGAGAAGCAAGGAAAGCTTTAGTCATCCTCCTGGAAAAGATCCTGTTTTCCATAGAGCTGCGGTTGTTTTGGCCTTTAAGCATGTGCTGCTGGAAGCATCCTTGCAAAATCTCTGGTACCTGCTTTAGGCATCCCCAGCATCAGCTGGGTTATGTTATAATGAACAAGCAGGGCTGGAGAGATGGGCAGGCAGGCACCAGAGCAGGGCAATGAGGTATCCTGCACAGGAGATATGGTCCAGGGGAGCAGAGCTCCAGTTCCTTGTCCCCTTCTGCCCACATCTATAGGGCTAAAAGCTTAGGGTGTGTTAATCTGCTTGGACATAAGACATAAGGCTGAGCTCTTACATTTCCGTATTAACAAGAATGAAACGCAGCTTGAATCCCTGGGCTTTGGGATTTCTCTGTTTCCTGATGCTAAAAAAGAAAAGGAAAAGAAAGGAAAACCCATAAAGCCGCAATCATGAGCTCAGCAGGGATCAGAAAACAGAGATGAGAGGAAAAATGTGCAGAAGTAACACGCTATCCCTTCTCCCACTAAGTGCAATGCCCTCTTTGGCTCTCGGTTCTCTGCTCTTCCCCTGCAGCTTTTCCACCTCAATGTCCATTTTCCCCCCTATTCAAGTAGGACTTTGCTCCCTGCTATGGAAAGCTGTGAGTTTGCTCCTGTGTACAGAAAGCCATGAGCAATGCTCAGTCCCATCACACGCAGAGATCACTCCAGGAGCACAGCTCACTACAGGGCCACATCTGTATTTATTGTCAGCCACTGCATAGCTCTGGGTAAGCTCTCAAGCACATACGGACTTTGGCATCCACTTCTCTTATAAGAGTGGAAGATCTTAGCTTTGCCCACCTTTGTTCTCCAGCAGTTAAGTCCTGCACTTCCCTGCATTTTCTCCTCCTTGCACTAAGTTGCTGAGTTGCATCTTGGGCGACACAAAAGGTTTTGTCCCAGTAAATAGGTAAAATCACACGGCACATCCAACCCTGTGACCTGCAGGAACAGAAAGGGGATCTCAGTGCTCAATTAGAGAAAGGCTCAGAGTTCAGAGATCCTTTCTTGAGGAGGAGAAAGGAGCAGCTCCCCATTTGGACACAAGACATGAATATCAGTAACAACATCCAGGGGTTAAGGCCCATAGGCTGTGGAGCTGGCTGATTCTAGGAGCACCTCCTAGAATTGCCAGGTTTTGCATCCTCTCTGAGGCATGGAATGCCACCAGTCTGCTG